AAATTTTAAGTCTTTTTTTCATTTATATCGGAAAAAAAAAAAAAAAATCCAGTGGTGATCAAATACCACTGAACTGGATGGACTTTTGTCTTTTTTCAGCCAGACTAACTATGTAACTATGTAACCACCAAAAGAAAGCTCAATTTGTGTGAAAAAATTATAAACATTTTATTTGGGTACAGAGTAGCATGACCGTGCAATTACCAGCTAAAGAAGCTCAGTGCCAAATAGCAAAAAATGGCCTGGTCATGAAGGGGGTAAAACCTTCTGGAGCTGAAATGGGTAAAGAAAAGAGCATGGCAATTGTTTATGATACACAGCTCTTTAACAAACTACATTTTATCTAGTTAAAACCTAACTCTGGACATCTAAAAAATTATGCCTTGCAGCTGGGAGGTGTCTGCAAGGGTTAATTGCATTTAGGTCTTGGGAAACAATAAAAGAAGATTCACTAACCCAGTCCTTTGCTTCTCCCTGCTGTTAGACTGGCCAGCACAGTGTCGCCTTCCCTACGCTTTAGGGTCCTGACATCATCAAGAACAAAGCAGAGTCCATTGCCCTGCACTGGATTTGATGACATTGATGAACAGTCCACCGTGGGAGCGCCATCTGCTGGGGGAGTATAGGATCAGGTAGGTAAAACTGTTTTTTCTTCTTCCGTAGACAAAATGAGCTATTACCCTTGCTGTGTAGGCACAGCCTCACCTCAAGGGACTAACTTTAGATTATCCCGGAGTTGTGCTTTAAGGTTTCGATCTGCTTTAATGAGCAGCAGTAGGGAAAATGGCAGCAACAGTGAATTTCCACACAGGTCTTTTGAGCCAAAGGACAGGAGACATCCTGTAAGCTGCATTTCAGTATTATGAATTGTTATTTTATTCTTTATCTTAGCAACTTTTACTTTTTTGTAAGCATCCCTTTAATTTTACCTGTTATGCTCATATTGATTTTCAGACAGGTGTTGGAAACTGCGCAATCACATTTAAGATCATAGGGAAGACATGGCTTTGAAATAACTTGGGGACACAAAACTCCAGAAATCCAGCCTTTGCCCAATTGCTTTCAGGTCTTGTTACAATCACATGAAGTGTATAATGATTATCTACTGTCTGTATACACAGTAAAGTGTTGGAGAAGGAAGCCTGGGACACTTCTGGGCATGAATTTTTTCTGGCTAGCGATGTCACTAACCCTAACAGGGTTGCCCCTCAACACAATGGCCATAATCCAGCATGGTCTGTACATTATCCATGCTATCTGAGTCATTAGCACTGAGTTAGTATTGTCACCCTTCCTAGCATAGAATGCAGTAACAGTAGTTAGGTTGCAAAAAATGTGTAGTTCTGTTGTTCATTCAACCTTAAAATCCTTTTGATCTTTAACGCGGAACTAAACCCATCGATTTAACAGTTTCAAAAAACAGTTACATTCCTGAAACGTGCTGGGAATGTAACTGCCACTTTTGCTTTCAACCAAACTATCAAATAACTGTGTCATAACTGATCATATGTTCAGCATCATGGCAGTTGCAGACCAAACAGAAGCTAAGATGGCAGGTTCCTTGGATGAAAAGGAGAGGAGAGTTTAGTTTTAAAAACCCTACTTGATCCAGCGAAAAATGAAAAAATTATAAAACCTAATTAATTTAGCTTTTTTTAACCCCAAAACAATTCTCAGATAATTTTCTGGACCAGCATACTATAAGTGCCGGTTCATATATGTGGATTAGATGCGGTTTGAATCTCATCCAATCTGCATGACATGTGAAAAACATTGCCTGTTCATGTTCACATATGTCCGGTGCACTAGCAGTGCGGATTCGGTGCAGTTTGAAAAAGAGTCGTGTACGATTTCTGAGTAGTGCCTTCAGGAGCAAATGACAGGCTATTGATTTCTATGGGAACTGCTTCTAAACCGCATATGTGTGAACAGGATAAAATCCTGAGCTAATCCTGTCCTGAACCTGATGTAAACCTGACATGAACTGGTGAACAACTACTGTATCAATTAGCTAGAAAACCTGAGCTTCAATCCGCACCGCACATGTGTGTATCAGCTCTTACACATACTACTAAGACTGATCAATTGGGGGTCATTAGGCAAATGCCCCTTACATTGGTAGTGGTCAGTGGTAGGAATGTCCCTCTTTCAGTGGAGGTCAGATTGCCACCCTTGCCATAATAACGTGGGCCCTGCCAAGAGATGTTGAACTTGGAACTGTGCCAGAACCATCAGATGAAAGGTCAGTTAGCCACAGCTCATGGAACCCCTGGCTGCATCTGAAAGAACCCTGCTTAGAAACTGTGCCAGAACCATCAGATGAAAGGTCAGTTAACCATAGCTCAAGGAACCCCTGGCTACATCTGAAGGAACCTGCTTAGAAACGGTGCCAGAACCATCAGACGAAAGGTCAGTTAGCCACAGCTAACTGTGCTAGAACCATCAGATGTAAGGTCAGTTAGCCACAGCTGGCTACATCTGTAGGAACCCTGCTTAGAAACGGTGTCAGAACCATCATATGAATGGTCAGTTAGCCACAGCTCAAGGAACCCCGGCTACATCTGAAGGAATCCTGCTTAGAAAGTCTGTTACAGTGTATTTTTCTAAATACAAGTAACAATGAAAAGGTCACCTTGACCCTTCTAAACATGAACCACAACTGAATATGAATGTATGAGGGATGTGGTATAGGGCTATGTCTATTTCCCCAAAGATGATGCAAGTATCACCAGTGGTAGTACAGGTGGCATGAAATCAGTAGTTAATGGTGATAGATATTAAGAATACTAACAGAATGGGCAGGATGAAAATAACATATCATAGGCATCTTATAAGCTTCTGACAAAGAAAGAACAGTTGGCACTAGTGCAGAACAATATGCTCATAAACAATATAAAGTATGGTGGTGATCCAAGCTCTTTCTTTGCAGTGACTCAAAAAGTATTACATCTAAAGGGTAAGCATTACAGCCAGGACATTAGCATTTTCAGAGTAAGGGTAGTGATGACAGCCTATCTATTTCCATCAGGACAGGTTTCCTTTAATTGCAAACCCTTGTAAAAAATAAACAGGCTGTGTATTTTTTTTTTTTTTTTACATTGAGTCAGACTGTGCATTCTTGGCATCTCATAAAGACAGTGCAAAACATAATTACGACTTTCAAAGCCAAAGGGTTTTAAACATAGATAAGGCGCATTTTTTTTAACAAATAGTGTAAGTAAAGTTAATTAAAATTGAGTAAACCAAAAGGGATTGCAAACTGTCTAGAAGATATAATGGTGCGTCTAATTCAGTAGTTTACAGTGACCAGCTAGGTTTTTTATACAGTAGAAAGCTTTGCATATTAAAGATATCTTCAGTTTTACTCTCTACAGACAGAAAGGAGATTGCTAATGCCACTGGGGTGGACCTCTGTCTCCCTCTGTGTTCCAGCATCTTGCAGAATAGATTGTGTACATGTATTTATGTGTTATATGTGTATATACTGCCTTTTAATTATATTGCAGTATATGTTATATAAAATATTATATACATTTATATCATTTATCTATCTATCTATCTATCTATCTATCTATCTATCTATCTATCTATCTATCTATCCCTATATATGTTTGTGTGTGTATGCATGAATACATTCAGGATTGGTTAGGAATGAACACTCTGTGAATCTGTGTGATTTATTTTATAGTAAAGATGATTTAAAACTCTCAAAATCTGGTGCATCTCTTCAAAGAAACCAATCAGCTTCCAGGTTTTATTGTCAAAGCTTAATTGAACAAGCTGAAGTTAGAAGCTGATTGGCTACCATGCACAACTGCACCAGGTTTTGCACTTTCCAGTTTAGTAACTCAACCCCATTGTTTATTAAATGCAACTGTACTGTTATGTATGGTGATAATAATACAATCAGACTCCCTGCAGTTGTTCATACATTATACACAATATATATTACAGAAGATCAGTTAAAACAGACAGATGTAAACAGAACATAAGCCCATGGCCATTAAGGTCATATATATAGGAAGGGCATATAGCATCACGTACAGGGCTTCCATCATGTACAGGCTTCCTGTGTATGCATACAAACTATACAAGCTGCAGGTTGTCTAAACAAGATTCAGCAAAAAGTTAGAAAAAGAGAAAAGAAAATGATTGAAAGCGGCTGCACTGATCTTATCAAGGAACCAAAGTCAAGATCAATAAATGTGACAGTGGGTACCAGAGAGAAAAAGAGACAAAGTACTAAAAGGAAAAAATCTCTACAAGAGGAGATGAAGTCAAGTAGCGAGAGTACTATCCGTTGGGTATCAGGTAGAAGAATAGGGCATGCCTGGCGAACACCATATATCCCCTAATACATAATTCAAGAGATCTTTAGAGCTTTAGATATCAGAAAGAGAGCCTGGTAAAAGGGGAAAGACATGAGATCCCTGGATGAGCAGAGATGGAAAGTGTAGAGTGTATGACACCCAGCCATGGACAGGCAGTGCTCATTTAGCTGTGGGTGATATAGAGCTCCTCTCGCTCTCTGTCTCTGTCCTTGATTCTGTCCTTTCTCTCGTGCCTCTCTTTTCACTCTTGATACCTGTCTCTTTCTCCTCCCCGCTGTTGGTTTCCTCCCTCTCCCATTTTACATACCTCCCCATTCACTCTCCCATCCTGTTCTCCCTTCATCGCGTCCCACACTTCTCACTCCATCCTCATCTTTATTCCCCCTCCTCTTTCTCTCTCTCTTTCACCCTGTACCACCTCCTCCCTCCTTGATTCCGCTCACTCTTTGCATTTTCCAAGTCTCTCCTGTTTCTTGTTGCTCTCCTCATTCTTTCCTTTCATACTTTATCTGCTCTGTTTTGTGTAGTTCTGTCCTCTGTTTTCTTTCTCTTTCTCTCTTTTTCTCTCTTTCTCTCTCTCTTTCTCTCTCTCTCTTTCTTTCCCTATCCTTGTGTTTAGATGAGTCTCCTTTGCGCTCTTCTTCTAACAGCTGGCTTTGCGAGCTCTGCTCTGTATTACGTTCCGCTGGCTTCTTCCTGTGCGGCTTGTGGCTCAGGGCAGGTGAGGGATGAACATTACCTGGCTAGTGCAAACCTTCCTGAAGATTCAGCTCATTTCTTCTTCCATTGCCCTACACTTATTTTAACTCTGCCTTCAGATCTTACCCACCAACATCTATCCTGCACTCCACCTGTGTCTTTCACTTCAGCTGTCTTTTTCCATGGGACATGGCGGCAGCAGGTGGCTCGGAAGAAGGAAGCAGTTTAAGCAGTTGTCCATCCTTTGAGCTGAACCTGATGAAGACAAACGACTGAGCTAGCTAATGTATTTCCAGTTCTACACTCCCAAGAAGCCCCGGGAGCCATATGCCACGTTTGTGCGGTGCCCACTGCATTATGCCATACTCCTGAGCCAGTGCATGGCATTTTGCCACATTCCTGCAAAATCAACATCCTTCTACCACTTTCCAGTTAAGCTTGTATAATTAGGCTGTGCTGCTGAGGCACCTACATTATTAGGCCTGGCTCCAAAGTAGCTTTGAGCACCATACCACCTGCAGAGTAGCTGACATAGTGCCATAGTCCTTTAGTGCTCCTCTATGTATAGAAAACAGATGCAGTGCTTTGGTGGAGAACTCAGTCCTTGTGCTTTCATGCTTTCATGCTTCTAACTTTTGTTTGATTACTGCTGTTTTTAGTTGCAGAGGATAAACCTGTACGACTGAGCGTCCCAATAATGTGCTGTGGATTGCGGTGACAGGGCAGGCCTTATGCACACATATAATCCTCATTCACATTGGATTTTCCAGGTTCTTGCCGCTTTGATTTAGACCTGCTTTGGTTTAGATGATGAAATCTAGATTAAACACCTTCAGCTTCATTCCATTTCAGATTCATGTTGCGTAGTCATTTTAGCATAGCAAAGGTGAGATTTTCTTTAAGGAGTGATGCATTTGTCCTAATGATCCTTCCAGGCATCTTGGACACATTTGTCTGTAGATCAGGTTTCTAGTTTATGCAGTTCAGGTTTTGGCTCAGTGCTGGCTGTGTTTGAGGTCTGGTTCTGGTTATGTGGTATGATCTCAATATGACGTATGCTGTTCAGTCAGGAGTCACAGGATCGGCTGGCACATCCATCCATGAATAATTCATGGTATGCCTAAAAATACATCATAGTGTCTTCTGTATGTCCCATTGTCCTCCCTTAGTTTATCTCACAGCATGTTTCCTCCCTTAAGATGCAGATTTTTGACAACCTGCTCTGATATACTTGGACTACACTCCTTCCGCATGACGCTAATGTATTCCTTCTTGGGTGCTGATTACCTGTTGGCTTCCACTGGTGTCATTTCAAGTCATTAGTAAATTATTTGTGCATCTATCTATTTATGCATAGAAGAGCTCTTTACTACTTGTCTTTCACTATCCTTTAAGCCTCACATTTATTGAAGAAACCTTCATTAAAACTGTTAACATTGCCCAACAGCAGCCGGATACAAACTTTTCATTCTTTTGCTGTTCCTATACTAGGCAGGTTCAAATTTATCAGGTTGTTTTGAGGCAATGCACATGGGAAGACAACAAAATAAGGACTTTTGCAAATTCATATTATCCCTCTTTTATCACTCATGTCCAAACAAAATCTGATCGCAGAATTAATTCTTCTGATGGTTACTATGAATTACTGCACTCTGGTTTGCCATAAGGTCAAGTCCTTTTGTGTTTTTCATTGCTTCCATGATAAATACCAGAACACACATTTTTTTCCCAAACACTTCACATAATACATTTTAGAATTCTTCCGTAATGTATAGTAGAATGCAAATTGAGTTAAGGCTGTTATTATTGTTACATTATGCAATTTGCAGCACAACCACGTGAATGGATAGACTGCCGTAACATTCTCTTCTCTTCACCTGCAGGTTCAATCTTTGACATGTTCCTGGCTTATTCCGTGGGTTGTCTTTTTATTGGCGCACTAGGGTGTGGTGCTGTAGTAATGGAAACACTACTACCTCGAGCTGGAGGACCTGTGGTGAATGTGCCTCTAGTTTTTGGGGGTTCATTTTCTCAGATGGAACTGATGGGGCCTCTTCTTCCAGAAGGATCTTTAAGTCTTCCTCTTGACATTCACGCAGTCCCCGTGTTTGTAAATGACAGCGGCCCAGGACCACTCTTGCGCCAACTGTGCCTGGCACTAAAAGGGGCCCATGCGGTGGTGTTTCAGGATAACATCGGAACAGAGGCCGTGGCCCAGATTCTTGACTTTGTCTCTTCACAAACTCTCGTACCAATTATCAGCATAAGTGGAGGATCAGCTGTCGTTTTAAACCCAAAGGTAAGAAGAGATGATCAAGGGACCTTTTTTTACTTGTTTGTTAAATAGATAGATAGATAGATAGATAGATAGATGTGATAAGTATAACACCACATTACTTGATATGAAAATTATATAAGCTGTGATACCTTATGCTACTCTGTTATTGATATAAATCATCATGGTAATTAAGCATTAAAACAACTGCTTTCATCTACAGAATGTGAACTAGGAGAAAATTGGCTAGCACTGTTGTCAGTTTGGCAGGTTTCTGCTAAACTGGTCTGGTGCTATGGGTTTTAACCTATTAGACAACACACAAGTTTAGCCCCAGGTTTTGAAAACTCTGGGTGGGTTCTGGCCTTACTTTTTTATCACCCAATATTTAAGCTGGATTCTGTCTCTGTGTGTGAATACTAGAGGACATGAGCTCAGCTGTACAGGCTAAGGAATATCACCTTCCCTATCCCCAGTATTATTTGCTGCCTGCCCTGCCAATATTCACCCTAAAGCTACCAAGCCTTTAAATATATATGAAAATACATAAAGATGCCTACATGTAGATTCACATGCCTTTCAGCACTCAATGCAAGGCCCTACGTCAACAGAGATCCTTACATGTAGCTTCACAATGGAGATGCCTACATGTAAGTCCACATACCCTATAACACTTCCTTGGAGTTCCAAAGTCCATGGACATCCAACATTTAAATAGAGACTTTGGCATGCTTGTTCCCATCCCTCTCACCTTCCATTTGTCACAATTGGCCTATCATTATTATAGGCTTCAGTTCCAGCTGTGTGACACCAGATAAAAGTACACAATGGTAATTGGAATTATAACACACTACTTGAGCCAGGGACAGTGCTGAACATTATAACACAATACCATATAGAAACATGTACATATCTTGGGTTTAAATATTTGTACATAAAGTGGAAGTCTGGGCTAATACTATCTATGCTTAAACTTGCTCCCACTCCCATTGTTATGCCTACACTAACTACCCTGTAAAGGAAAGATGTGTACACTTACCTAATCTAAGGGCTCCCCAGGCCGGTCACTCGATCTCCCCAGCGGCCGGCTTTGGGGGAGTGGAGAGAGCAGCATAAACAACTGAAGTGCCTGGGCATAAAGCCACCCATAAACTTACTATGGGGCATTCTTTGTTGCTGCTTTCTCCACCCTGAAGCCACCACTGGGAGCCAATCATGACTGGAGCACCCTTAGATTAGGTAAGTATACACATCTTTCCTTTACAGGATAGTTAGTATAGGGCTTACAATGAGGGTGGTAGCAGGTTTAAGTTTAGGTAGTATTTGCACACACTTCTACTTTAAAGCCTAACTCCAGGCAGATATAAAACAGTAACTAATGCAGTTATATGTTTATTGAAAAAATTATTAAATGTTTTTTTTTGTTCAACATTTTTATTTAGAAGATTACAATACAAATACAATGTAGGGCAAGAAATATTAGCCAGAGGAACTGGCTAAGTGTTAATTATAAATTGGACAGAGATATAAAGATGCTTTATGATCCTGAGCATTTGGATTCTGAGCACATTTACATAACAGTTTGTGCATGTGCATGTGCCTGTGCCCAGTTTAAGAAGTTTGGTAGAAATTGGGAGCGGATGGGTCAGAAATAAGCCTAGCACACACTATGGGAATATCGGATGAATTATCATCCGCTTTTTTTTTTTTGCATGCTAATCTCATATAAAAAATGAAGAGGTTACTAAAGTTATGAAACTTTTTGTAACACAGAATAGAACTTTGGATGTGACGTATTGTATTGTAATTTATTCTTTCATTTCTGAGCAGCATCCTGAGTCTTGGTCACTCGATTTCTTTTGGACGATTAAACGAAAATCGGTCGTTTTGATAGAAACATTTTTATGCTTGTCCCTTCAGATAATTTCACATGAACTGTTTTAATCAGCTCTCGAAAGCTGCATACTAACAATCAGATTATCGGACAATCCCTCCAAAAGCAGTATTTTCGTCTGATTTTCTCATTGTGTTTTAGGCAATAGGAGGGAAATGGTTGGAGAAATGGTGGTGCTTTCCTTTCCAATGGTTCTGAATTGAATGATAAGAGCTCAAAACCCCAATAGGGTAACAATAGATGGAATGTTTAGGGCTCTTGTACCGAATCCTGGAAGGTGAAAGTTATCTGTCCAGGGCTACCAGATTTTGATATACCTGCGGACACTACCTTGTAGTGTAGCTTCAATTTTGCCAATTAAATGTGTTTTAGCATATGTATTTGATTGTGTTTTGGTATGTCTCCTGCTATCCTTTGCACAGCACAGGAGGAGCTACACAAGGAGCCAATCAATGCCAAGCTGCGGTTTCTAAAGTGAGCAAAATCCTCTTGTAATACAATCTTGTATTAAAAGAGGTATAGAATCCAGAGAGAAAAAAAATCATATTACCCTGCAAATCATTAGTAACACCTCATCTGGGATATGCAGTTCAGTTTTGGGAACCAATTCACAAAAAGAACATTGGGGAACTGGAGAAAGTACAGAGAAGGGCAACCAAACTGATAAGAGGCATGGAGGAGATAAGCTATGAGGAAAGATTAGAGGAACTGAATTTATTCTCTTTTGATAAGAGGACATTAAGGGGGGATATGATCAACATGTATAATTACATCTACTTGGTGTAGAGTTATTCACTTTGAGGTCATCACAGAGGACAAGGGGGCACTCTTTACGTCTGGAAGAAAAGAAATGTAATCTCCAAACACGGAAAGGTTTCTTCACAGTGAGAGCTGTGAAATGTGGAATAGACTCCCTCAAGAGCTGGTTCTGGTCAACTCAGTAGATTGCTTTAAAAAAGGCCTGGATTCTTTCTTGGATAAACAGAATATAACTGGATTTAAACATTTATAGGTAAAGATGATCCAAGGAATATCTGATCGCCTCTTGGGGGATCAGGAATGAATTTTTTTCCCCTGCAGGAGCAAATTGGTTCATGCTTTGCTGGTTTTTTTGCCTTCCTCTGGATCAACTGTGGGTATAGGTTTACAACTTTTTTTTTTTTAATGGTTGAACTGGATGGAATTTTGTCTTTTTTCAGCCAGACTAACTATGTGACTATATGTGTTGCAGTGCACATGTGCCAAGAGCATGCTCATTTTATGAGGAAAGAGGGAGAAAGCATCATCATTGTGCTGCACTCCTTCATTGTCTATTCACAGTCTGGGAATATGGACTACACTGTTTCGTTTAACTGCTGTAGAGAAAGTTTCCAGGTCATCAACCTATCTGTGCTGTCTGGAAGGGCTGTGGAAATCTCGGGACTGGAATAAGAGAAATACAAAAATCGTACTTCTTAGAATAGTATGTATGTTTGAAATTTGTTTGAGCAAGGTAAATCAGTACAGCTGAAATGTGTGAAAGCAGGGCCACAATTAGTCACCTGCAGCAGTCATGCTGGCCAATGGCCCCTCCAACAATTGGATCAAGATAGGGCAGCACACATCACTAATGTGGAGGAACTCCATCATCTTGGTCACTCACATTCACCCATCCTGAGGACCAACTCCAGAAATAAAGAAAGGTTCATGCATTCAACCTTTTTAATGTTTACTGTAGTAGTAACAGAATATATGGCTCCTTGCCAAAGCACCACTTTGCTGCTGCCACTTTACATCGGACATCAGTAACACTGCATAATTTAGTCAATTTTACCAGAGGGATGCCGACCAGCACTTACAGTTCCCCACTGTATGTTCCCCTTAGGTGGGTTCTCCAACAAGCCTATGCTGGGCCTACCCTGAATCTTTCCCGCCATTTGTAAACGCTATAACTTTCACGTAAACCAATTAATTTACACGTATTGGGTTTTTTTTTTTTAGAAAAGACATGTCACAGAATGCATTTTGGCAGAAATTTATGACTAAATTTGATTTTTGCATTTTTTTTTTACTGGACATGTTTTATAGCAAAAAGTCCAAAATATTGGTTTTTTTTCCTCAAAATTGTCAGCCTTTTTTTTTATAGCGCAAAAAATAAAAACCGCACAGGCAATCAAATACCACCAAAAGAGAGCTCAATTTGTGAGGAAAAAAAGGATGTAAATTTAATTTATGTATCGTATTGCATGACCGCGCAATTGTCGGTTAAACTAGTGCAGTGCTGTATAGCAGAAAAATGGCGTAAATTGCAGTATTTATACCATAGTTTGTAGACGCTATAACTTCCACACAAAGCAATCAATATACACTTATTGGGATTTTTTTTTACCAAAAACATGTAGCAGAATACATTTTGGCCTAAATTTATAACTAACTTTGAGTTTACTATATATTTTTTATAGCTGAAAGTAAAAAATATTGTTTTTCTTCAAAATGTTTGGCCTTTTTTTGTTTATAGCGTGAAAAATAAAAAGCGCACAGGTGATCAAATTACACCGAAAGAAAGCTCTATTTGTGTGAAAAAAAGGACATAAATTTCGTTTGGGTGCAGCATTGCATGACCGCGCAATTATCAGTTGAATTAGTGTTGCACCGAGTAGCAAAAAGAGGCCTGGTCATTAAGGGGGGTAAATCCTCTGGAGGTCAAGTGGTTAAACTGGTGTTTAATGCCCGGGTGTTTTTTGTTTTACATTAATGCATTCCTTGCTAATTAGTCCCCCTCCTCCTGATCCAAGGCTGTCCCGGCTTCCAGGTTTGCCATTCCCTCTCTTCCACTTCATAAAGGTACTCAGACAGCAGCAGGAGCCATTGGCTACTGCTGCTGTCAGTCAAATACTGTGAGCAGAGAGAGAGAGAGAGAGAGAGAGAGGGGTGGGCCGAGCTGCACTGTTTGTGCCTATAGATGCATACAACCCATGTCAGGAGCAAAGCCTGCAGGTGTGCCCCCATAGCAAGCCGGTTGCCATGGGGCTCAAAGAAAGAGGAGCCTGGAGTTCCAGTGGGGGACCCCAGAAGAGGATATTTGGGCCAATCTGTGCAAAATCATTGCCTAGAGCAGATAAGTATAACATGTTTAGTATTTTAATAAAAA